CCATCAGTGATGAACGGGGGACAACATACAGTTTGGAAATAAAGAAGTAACATGTTTACTTTGAAATTCAATTTTGTAAAAAAAAAAAAAAAACTTCTAATTTTGAGGTATATTTGCAAAGACAAGTTGACCTTGCTCTGGCCTTGTTGCTCATTTACTCATTAAAAGAACCTCAGTTAATTTTAAACCTCTGTTTTATACATGAACTCTGAGTGAGTGACTCACTGTTTCCTACTACATCTAGCAGTGGGCCAGGCTGCCTCTAGACACCCCTTTTCTTGAGAGCCGGAAGACATTAGAATCAGGTTTGTTGTCATGTGTGTTCTGTGTGCTTGGAACTGGAAAAGAAGATGAAGCAGCAGGTAGGGTGGGAACAGAGGCTGGAGGCTGTGGGAGACATCATGGAAGGCAACTATGAACTCACCAGGTGATAGCCTTGGCAGAGAGGCAGGATACAGGGGACTGGTGAAGGAAGACTGTTTCAAGGAGACTATGGACAGATGAGGTTATATCTAAGGATGTTAAGTCTTAGAACCACAGGGTGGAATATTTGTGGGTGTCCATAGCAGGTAAAATGGGGCAAAATACATTCACTTGAGAGGGTTCTGAAAATCTAAAAGGTACAGTTCTTGCCTTCAGGGGTATACTTAGTACTTCAACTACTTCTTCCTGGCCACTGGCAGGAGAAAATAGTGACATGACTACTGCTTCTAAAAAGCAAAGAAGTTAATATATCTCAAACAACTGGATTGGTGTAGTTCCTCTGAGGAATGTGCTTGTTTGGAACTAGGTACAAATTACCACTCATGAAGAGCCTCAGAAGATTGCGATTGGGTGAAATTGAGTCTACAGATCAATTTTGGGGGAATGCCCAAGAGCACTAATCAAGACAGGGTGGTGTTGGTATAAAGACAGACAATAGATCAATGGAACAGAATAAAGAGTCTGGAAATGGGCTCAAAGGGAAAATGGCTTTTGTGGTCTTCTAGCTTCTAACAGGAAGCAAAATTCCCCAAACTTTTACTCTTAACCAAAGGCTATTATTCATGTTATGAGATCCTTTGATTCTCACAAGATCCTTATGAGATAGTCATGTCCTAATGGTATAGCTAGATGAGAATTGGAGCTTGTCTAGAATAGATGGAGTAGAACATCATCTGTGGGATACCATTTGAGAGCCCATAGGAATATTGCCAAATTCCCAGGCAGCTCCCCCCGAAAAGGACTCCTGCTGCGCGCTAAATCCTATCAACTAACAGTGAGCTACTCAAGTCTGGCTTCTCCTTTCACTGTAAGCCTCTTGAGAACTGAGACCAACATGATAAAGATTTTTTTTTTTTCAAATATCTAGTGTTTAGAAAAATGCCTAGATAGGTTAGGTTAGATTAGGCCATGCTATAGTAAAAAATAAACCTTGAAAACTTAGCGGGTTAACACACAAATATTTATTTCTTGCTCATACAAAATCAGCTGATCTCTAGGGCCACTCTTTTCCAAAAGGTAATTTGGGGATCTCAGCTGCCTTTATCACACAGCACTGCCTTCTGGAGGACTGGAAGACTGTCGCAGATGAGGAGACAACGATGGAATGTCGTATAGCAGCTCTTGGATTCTTTGCCCAGAATTAACGCATGCCCCTCCCACTCTTAGCCCAGTGGCCGAAGCTAGTCCTGTAAGCAACTGGGAAATGGTGGGGAGCACATGGTGGGCAGTAAATGCCTCTGCCATCCTGGCTGAGAGAGTGCACCAACAAACCTTGTTGAAGAAGCTAATGAGTAAATCTGATACAGGGTTTGAATTACACTATGACAGAATGATTCGAATCCTGAAGCGGCTTTCAACTTCCAGAGCCTCAGGTGAAATGAACATGTCACCAACAGGAGGAAAAATGAAAAGGGATCTGCCTTTTATTGACAATCTAGTCTATACAAGTCACTGTTCTAGACACTTTATAGAGGCCATAGTGTTTAGTCCTCATGATGGCCCTATGGGACAGATGTTAATCTCTTTTCACAAATAAATTTTGTATGAAGCCATGATGAGCAAGTGGCAGAGCTGAGATTTGAGCCCATGCATGCCAAATGTCAAAGCCTACAAGGGAGTTGATCTTCTTTATTACACTGACTTCCTTGGCCATGAGTGCTTTATAGAGCAGTGTAGTAGCAGGAGCAGTGGCCTTCGGAAATGCAATCTGGGGCAGGTTTCCTAGGGAGAGAGGCCAGGAGGAAGGCAAGGAGTGACAAGGCTGCACTCTGCAGCTGGGCTCCCCCATTCCCCATGGCTCTGTCCTTCTCCTCTCTCTCCTGCTACCACCCAGTGACTGCCACTGAGAGATACAGCTACACCAAGGTCTGAGTCAGTGGTGCACAGAGGAGAGGTCAGCGCCTGTTCTGAACCTTTGTGTGGTTCTGACATCTCTTTCTATTCTTGTTGCACAAAGAGGCAGGAGCAGTGATCTCACAGTGCCACACAGGACACCTTTCCCAATGGCCTGAATTTTGTGAGAACTGGCCAAGCTCATTTTATGCAGCTCTCTGACCCTACAGGACAGAGACTCAGATATCTGCTCCATGCCACTAACACTCAGGAGGACATCGGAAACAAATTGGAAGGATTCCAGGTCAAGCTTTGCCATTCTTGATGTGTTCACTTGGATAATCCACTTGGATTCTCTGGGTTTTAATCTTTTCATCTATAAAATGGGACTCCTACACATCCACTCTCTGCCCTTGTCTTACTGGGTTACCGCAAGCATCAAATGGAATAATGTATGCAAGACTGCTTTGTAGATTAAGATGAATTTAAATGTAAGAGGTTATTTTTTAATGGCTGGATAAATAGTGAAAGTTTTTTTTTAACTTTATGATTGAGTCTGATGACTTCATTGAAGGAAGGGAGCAAAGCTGCATATGCCCAAGACGTTTTAAACCTCTAAGGTCCTTGCCAACTCTGCCATTCCATAAACCACACCTGGGAGCACACATTTTCTTCTTTCCACAGTGCTTAAGAGCCAGACCATTGGAGTCAGAGCACATTACTAGATGTGTACTATTGAACAAAGTATTTTAACCTCTTGAACTTCAGGTTTCTCATCTGTGAAATGGGAATAACATTTATGTCAGGGACTACTATAAGGACTAAAACACTAATACACATAAAGTAATTCACACTGGGCATGGCACATGGATCATGGCACATAGTGAAATACTTGATAAGTAGTTGTCATTTTATTGTCATTATTATTATTCACATTAAGGAGCCATCATGCTGTCTCCAAGGCTCTTTGCATAATCAAATTGTTCCATTGTTCATTAGAATAAGAAAATCCCCAATCTTCCAAAATACATGAACATTTGGATCAATGTCTCCCAGAATGTCCTAAACTGTCTCCCACATCCTATAGAAAGCACACAATTTACAACATGGCTGGGCTCCAAAATCCTGCATGGAAAGCATTTGTTTGGAACTCAGAACATACTTTCCCAGAGAAAGAATGCTATTAAAATAGTGGTTGGATTCCCAGGTGACTGAAAATACCCGCTTGCTTCCCAAAGTAGCAGAAAATTGGCATATTTGCAATGCAAATGACTACGAAAAATGTTGTTATATTGCTAGTCATTTACCAAAACTGAAAACTAAGACAACTTTGTAATAATTTATTTTATCTCTCATGAATGAATGCTGGTGACGAGCAAAAAACAGGCTTTATTAGAGAGAGAGTTCAGTGGAAATTTAAGAAGTAAATCTTAAAGTGACTTTGGGGCACTTTCAAAGGCTTTTGAAGTTCTGTACTAGGTCTAATGCTACTTCAAAATTTTTGGACTCTTTTGTTCTTGACACAAGGGACTAGGCTGCGCTAATTTCATCCTCCACTATGGAGTTAGTTTTGGTTTGCAAATGGGAAAGGGAAGGAGATGGGAGAGATTAGGGTAAGAGAAAAAGGGGCAAGAAAGATTTCCCGGAGAAAATTACTCAATAGTTTGGAGAAATTGAGAAAGGAGAAAGAGGCACACATGTAGCAAGATGCATTTCCATTACCTGGTCTGTGAGCAGGACAAACAGGTGGTGTGAGAACCCACTCCCTCTCGTGAAAGGGAAATGGTGACCTGACTTGTCAAATCGTTCCCGCTGAAGCCATAAGGTGGCACCACAGGGCCAGAACAACCTGTGAAAAGCTAGGCTTCCTGATTGGGGAGGAGGAGAGAAGGTTGAGCACCCACCTGTTTGGTCTTGGCAAATAAGCCTAAATAATGTGCTGGTTTGCTGTTCTGCACTTCATTGCCGTGAAGGGAATGCTGAGCTGGAACATCAATATGACCTCATCTAAACACAGGTCTTTGTGTTTATGGGCGAGGGAAGGAAGCATAGAATGTGGGCCCCCGAAGGACCTCAGCCAATCTTAAATTTCTGGTGGCTTCAAATATAGTATGGATTAAACAGAAATATACGAAAACTTACAGTTTTTCAAATGAGGAAACTGAGGCTTAGAGAGAAGGAGCTTGCCTCTGCTCATGAAACGAGTGTCAGTAACCCTCCCCACTGAAGCAGGCTGCCTCTCAGGCTGCCCCAAACACTAGTCCACCAATCAGATGGCGCACGGGTTCACTCCGCACCTCCAACTTCAGGTGCAGTCCCCTTTGCTGACGTGGGCCGAGCAGGTCAGAATAAGTAGAGGAAGACTTGGAAGGATAAAACCCAGTGTAGATGAGCTGCAGCTCTGGAAATCTTAGATCTAGGCCAAGAGCTAATTCTCAGGTAAGGAGAATCCAATTCTAGGTTCTATTGCCAGACTATCCAGAAATAATTGCAAGAGTCACATATTATTTCAGAAAGAGCAGTGAATATGGAGGCAGGAGACCTGGGTCCTGGCTTCATTTTTTAATTCTGCTACCAAACTTGCACACATCTCCCTGTCTCTCTAAGGTCACTCTCGGCTCCATCAAGAACCACTCTTCTTTCTAATTGTCTTCCAATCCTCAACAGGTAGGACTTTTGTGGTCATTATGGCCAGGGGATGCAGGACAGTGGGTAGCTAATGGCCTAATTAGGCCACAATAGCTCCAAGATGAGCATGTCCCCAATATAAATGTCCCCCCCACCCCAAACCTCAAAAACTATTTCAACCCGTGATATGCAAAGCTCCTAGAGTAAAACAAAGATGTGAGTCACCCCCCCATCATACATAACCAGAGCAGCAGTTCTGAAGAACACAAACCTCAGACTCCTGATGGCAGAAGATCTTACCAGGCAAGAGGGGAAGTTTCATCACTGGGAAGGAAAGAGGCTAATGAGGGTGGTTGAGGAG